CTGTCCCAACAGTCTCTATCTCTTGTTCAACAGTCTCTATCTCTTGTTCAACAGTCTCTCTTGTCTGTCCCAACAGTCTCCATCTCTTGTTCAACAGTCTCTCTTGTCTGTCCAACAGTCTCTATCTCTTGTCCAATAGTCTCTCTTGTCTGTCCAACAGTCTCTATCTCTTGTCCAATAGTCTCTATCTCTTATTCAACAGTCTCTCTTGTCTGTCCAACAGTCTATCTCTTGTCCAACAGTCACGCCACCTGTCCAACAGTCTCTATCTCTTGTCCAACAGTCACGTCACCTGTCCAACAGTCTCTTGTTGCCTGTCCTCTGTCCCATAACCTCTGTCACCTGTCCAACTATCTCTCTCACCTGTCCAGTAGAGCCAGGAGAGCCAGTCGATCATATCGAACCCTCAGCCACCTTCCAGGTAGCACCCAGAACCGATAGTACTGTTTGGGTTTGGCTTTCTCCTCGATCATCAGAGTGTTTTCATGGGACTCTTGAAGGGATTCGTGATCAAGATCGAACTAGAAATAAAATAATAAAAAACTTTAACGATTGAAGAATCCATAAAACACCACAACCTTTAACAAGAAATAATTGGCCAGGTAAAACATAAAGGACTGCTAACCTCAGGCATCTCCAGAGGTACCCTGCGCACCTGCATGCCCTGTAGAACCACTGGTCTGGGCTGTAGGATGGACAGGACCGGTGCTCCTTCCTGGACCTCGGTGGATGTGAAGCTGGAGGACTGAGACTGCCTCTCTCTTTCCCTGCAACAAGCACATTTTAAACTGCCATCTTGGAATAACAAAATGCAGTTAGTAAAATGATTTTACTTACTGGACTGGGTCCTCATAACCACCTCCAGCAGGTCCAAAGGTGTAGGACCTTTTTACTCCTGGTACACAACAAAGAAAACTCAAACTCAGATTTCAACTGGGATATTCGCCAAACACAAAAGTAAAATGTGACGTTTAACTTTTTCATACCATCTGAATTTTCATACTAAGATACAGAGGTTTTTTTAATATGAAGGATTAAAACAAAACAAAAGCAGTACTCTGACGTCCCCCGTCTCTGACAGGTTTGAAGTGTGAATGTTTGTGGTTTTGGAGAGGAGTGTTTTTCTGGACTGGAATTAAACAGAATGCAAGTAAATCTTTATGTTTTTGGTGCAAGAAAGATATTCAAGTGGGGAGGAGTTGCACTGTGACGAAGAACAGAGGAGGTTTTTTTTTTGTCTTGTCCGAGGCAGAGCAGAGTGACGGATCCTGGAGAGAGCAACTTTATCCACCAGCAGGTACAATGGAGGAGCCGGGGTGGTGACCAATGGTGATCTTGGGCCCTATAGATTAATCTTTGGCTATCCCAATTATTTGAGAGAATTGTGGTAGCCATCTTGGATTTTGATGCGACAACCCAATTTTTGACAGGAACATTTCTTACACACTACACACCAAAACGGAGGTCGGTATCTCTTATTTTTCAAATGAGCATGCTCACAACATACACAGATGAACACACAGATGAAGAGTATTTGCAACTCTCCCTCTTTGCTCAACAATGGGAGACATTAAAAGCATATAATACCCAAAGTAAGCCAGCTTAGTGAGCAGAAAATATGGTGGCATTAACCTTTATCCCAGGGCGTTATTGTAAACTCACCACTCTCATCGTAGAAATAGTGCACTGCTCCCTCTGTCGTGTCGTCAAATGTGGAGGCCTCATGGACACCACTGCGGGGCAAGAGGAGTGAAGATGCAAACTGTAAGGCTGAGGGAAGCGTGCGGGTGCGTGAATGAGACGAGGTCCGAGATCGCTGAAGGTCTTGAAGGCTACGGCAGGAAGAGAATATTTATGTTAGCACTGCTTGAACCTGTGTGATTCATGTGAAGTATTTTCAGGTAATTTATGAAATCAACATACTTTTTTTTTTTTTTTAAATATAATTTCTTTCACTTTGTATTTATTTAAATTTGCAAATATAGTTTGTCTGCAGACATAATGAAAGAAATTGTCTGAAACCCCACTCACGCCTGCACGACTGACCTGGGAGGGGATCCCATGGTGGAAGGAGGCGGTGTCGGGTTGCTCCCAGCGTTGTGTCTCCTGCGTATTGCCTGAGTCCGTTTAACGTTGCTGACAGACTCGTGTTTGTTCCCGTCCTCTGGACCCAAAGCTGGAGACGATTATCAGTTACATCAATATATTTGACCTCACAGTCAGTTCTACTGAATCAAACAAAGCTGCATCAAAACACGTTCAAACAATCAATACCCTGATTTAACTTTTATTTACAATTTACAATCATTTTAACTAATCACTGAAAAGCAACAAGTAAACTGCTCATTTATATCCAAACTGAATTAAACATGATAAATATAAAAGGCTCATTTTTTGTATTTATTATCAACCAAACAAAGCTGAATGAAATCTTGAGAAAATGTTTGTTAAAGACTACACGGTAAATATTTGGATCTGATGCCACCAGACTGAAAACATTAAAACGTCACCACATAATTTCACTTTAAAACACTATTCACTTCTTCAAAAATAGGAAAATTTTACTCTTAGTCTTTTATTTCTTGACAGAAAATCATCATCAGTTAAAAGTTGAATTTAGATGGAAATTAGCTGCACATGCTTTTTATCTGTAATCTACTTAACATTTTCGAACCCAGCAAGGAAACCGTTTTACAACTCAACAAAAAACCTGCTTCAATTATGACATATTTATTTTCTCATTAGTAGCCTGTGCTGTTTTATTATTGTGCTTTCTTTGTATTATTTTTATAATCTCATTTATATGCACATTCATGCACTGTTCTGGGTACAGCTCTGGATTTTAAATGTGCTTATAAATAAATTTGGTTTATCTTTTTTGTCACTGAAAGAAAAAAAGCAGCAGCTTTGTGACTTCAGTAACAAATCGTGGAGAAACTGTGTCCATATAAACCATACATTTTTCACTGGATTTATGAACAATGTTCCTTTCATTTTGCAAAACCTACGAGTGGAATAAATATAATCTAAAAAGTTGGCTTAAATTTAAAGACTAACCAGTGTAGTTACTAAATAATGAGCTGCATTTTAGCAAACATTGAGAGTATGACTGAATCATACTGATTGCAAGGCCAACTTACCTCCACCCACAGCTCCCTCTTCAAGCAGCTCTCCGGCCCTCCAACCCATCTGGTTTCCGGTCCAAGACCCTCCAAGAGAATCTAGTCGATGATGGTGGCTCCCAGAGAAGCCTTCCGTGTGGATGGTGCGGGCCTCCAGATCAGATTTGGACATGGTGAGTATGCGGGGTGCTGGAGTGGAGGTGGAGGGCATTGACAGTGTAGTGGGTGTGGCCGCCGTGCTGCTCTGGGCACTGCCCGCTCCGTCCATACTTAGTACTCGAGCATGAGTCTTAGCACTAGCTGTGCTTGAAGAGCGCTGAGCAGCACGGGGATGAGCGGGGCCGGAGGGTTCGGGTAAATCCCCCTCTCTTTGGGAGGGAAGCTGAGCAGCAGTGGAGAGAAGGGATGTCATGTCAGTGTTGGCATGGTCTGAGGAGTAGCAGGAGGTAGAGGAACTTGAGTCGTCATTATCATCCTCGTCAGAGCTGTATCGGCGCTGAGAACCCAGACTAGAACCAGCGCTCATGTCACTGCCATCGTCCTCATCGCTGGAATCCTCAAAGAGACTTTCGCTGTAAGCTTTGGCGCCCAACCGGCTGCGCACTGGGATGTAATCTCTGTGTTGTCTATGATTGTGGTGACGCCTATAAGAGCCGCAGTCAAAACTACTGCTGCCTGCTCCAGCTCGCCTTCTCGGTGCTTTCCTCCGACCCGGCCTGTGGCCCATGCTACTGCCGCCGGCCCGCTGCAACTTAAAGTCTTTAGGACGCACAACCTGTTGAGCTTGGAGAGCAGGCTGCTCTGACAGCAGTAGGGGGGTGGAGGATATGGGCAAAGCAGGCTCAGAACACACTAGTCCCATGGCCAGACCTGAAGGCACTGAATTGGCCTGCCGAGGAGGAAGAGGAGGAGGACCTGCAACATTTCTGTCTAAATCACAAACCTCTGAGTGTCCACTACTTGAAGGGGACGAGTTCTGGAGAGGAGGGGGCTGTGCAAGATTGGCAGGTACAGGAGGCAAATCGTCTCCTTCAACGAGTGTCCGATCTAGCCCCTGACTGATGGATAAATCTTTGGAAGGGGAGCGAAGCAGCACACTGTCTGACAGATTGTCAGTATCACTACCACCCTGTCCCGTTGTGTCCTCTGCGTTGTTAAGAACATCAGAACATGTTGCTGGCGCCGAGGCAGACGCCTGTCCATCTGCAGGCTGGCTCAATGAAGCACTTTCCAGCTGAGTGGAATCAGTTTTTTCACTGCGATAACTACTTACAGTGCTTAGTGTCTCGCGGTCTGTTGTGGCACCACCTGCGCTGAAACAACTGTCGGTGGAACCGGCAGCCAGTGCTACCCCACTGCGGCTGCCTGGCTGCTCAGTCCCTGGGACAAAAGCCACTGGGTCCAGACCTAAACCCATCAGATTTTCACTTAGCTCCTCGCTTAAGCTGCTCTTTATTAGAGGGCTGAGGGGAGCATCTCCCAGGCTCTCAGATTCAGCAGAGGGGCCAAGTGAGGAATACGTTCCCATCCCAATGTCCTCAGGACACAGATGAGACGATTGTTCTGGTAACTCCTCCGTTTGCTCCTTCTCACCTCCATCTTCTTGACTCGAAGGCGAGGGAGGAATGGACAAGTAGTCCTTAGGTTCTTCAAGTCTAGCTGACTCTCCTGATACTCCCATGATACCTGGGATCTCTCTTCCTAATGAAGGGGGAATGCACATCTGGACCGCACTGGGAACCCCTGAGAAGGACGAGAAATAAAAATCAGAATACAAGGCTATCTGAAGAGGGATGCAACATAAAAAAAACTGTTCCGATGAACAAAATGGAGGTTAAAAACAATCCCTTTTAAGAATGGATTTTTATGCATTGACTGGTATGCTTTGAGGCAGTTGTTTTTTTCCAAGCAGGATTAGAGACTGCTTGGTGTGGAAGAAAGTTCAGTGAATAACAGCAGACTTACTCTGGATGTCCTGGGAACACTTTTGTACAATCTCCCGATGGGTTGAAGTCAGAATTACCCAACTGCTTCCTTGTTCCTGTGTCATTTCTTTTAAATCTGGAGTAAAAACAAAAACAAAAACAAAAAATCAGACAAATTGTTTTTGCTCTTTAAGTAGGAGTATATTTTCTGTTTCACCTGAAGGTGTAAGAAAATCTTTCAAAAGAAGGTAAAAACCCAGAACTGCTTACCCTTAGTTCCTCCTGAATCCTCCAGCTGGGGCAAGAACTCCTGAAGAATCGGGTCATTAAACAGTTAATTCATTTGAATACTTTCTGACATAAATTAATAAAACACCTTCATGAAGTTGTAATAAAAATATTTGCTTTCCAAATTGGAAAAAAATTATAAAAGTTACAGAAAGCTTCTGTTGAAAACAGCAAATATCTATAAAACAATATTTTCTAAATAAATAAATGGAAAATATGAGAAACATTAACATGAAAAGAGGGAAGACAAAAAAATGCTGCAGCAGTTCTCACCGACACTTGGTTTAACCCAAACAGAGAGTGCTGGGAGCTGCAGCGAACCGGGGGTGTTGAGTTCACCTTCCGAAACACAGTCATCTCTACACCAACATGACTATCCCTGAAAATAAACACGACAAAGAAAAAAATGAAAAGAAATCAACACATTAGTTAGTTTCCTACAACAAGTGACCTAAGAACATCTTCTTGCCTGTGTTGATTCCCATCATGAGCTCCTGAACCTTCTTCTTCTTCTCTTGGGGCGTCTGCTGCGAGCGAGGCCTGCTTCTTCTCTACGATCTCGCCGAGGTCGAACATGGTGTGAAGCCGGTAGTTCACCACCTTAATGGCTGTGAAAAAGACTGCAACCACAGCAGAGTACGCACCTGCCACCAGCAAGCTGGGAGGAAGAGCCTGACCAAAACAAACGATAAAGATTATAAATCTTTTACCAACGGCTGTGTCTTAATGTCTTGTCAAGTATGGATGCTTTATATGTCTGTGAAACAAAATGCCCCTCAGGGATAATATTCTTGAACTTGGTAAATTCACATTTCAGCAAGGAAAGCTACTGATGTGACATGATAAACTATAAACAATAAGAAGTTTGTTTGAAAGATTTATTCCAATATCTGAGCAATACAGTTCAAAAGAGAATATCCATTATTTGTTTTTAAAAATAATTTTAAGACATATAATCAGACATATTAAATAAAGGTTTGGAATGCTCAGAGGAGAATATTTAAACTATATGTAAGATCCATGGATATTTACAAATAGAAACTTGAATATTTGCCAATTCTTTCACAAGATGCCACGTCAAAAAAAAAAAAAACATTTTGGACCTTATTTAAAAAAATAAAATGGATGATTAAATTTGCCTACTGCTATAAAAAAATGTTCTTACCATGTACAGAAGAAAGGGGAAGGCCAGGAGAAATATCCACAGGTACAGGTGGAAGCAGTTGGAAAACGTGCTCTGATGGGGGTCCACATACCAGCCACCTGTGAGCGAAGCCCACACACCCTGCCGCAATATCTGAAGAGCCTGGGAGCCCATCTCAGCGTTTAGGATCAACAAAAGCTGCAACGTCTCCTTAAAGGATGTAGCTCAAAGAAACTGGGCGGCTGTTTGAGCCACAGTGACTTGTGTCTATGATGGCACTTCCTTTGGGGACAGCATGGTGACCAAGACCGTTTCATCAAGGTCAACAGTTCTGCGTTGTGTTTGAATACAGGTGTCAGTGGATGCAGAGAGTCCTCACATATTCTCGTGGCAACATTTGCACCCTTACTGTACAGACGTCTATGAACTTTACCCTAACCCCTTTTGGGTAATCAAGTGTGAGACTTTTTGGCACATTGGCATCCCACTTAATGTATGAAGAAACATTTATCTGCAAGACAAAAATCAAAGTTAGTGAAAGCCAAAGTCATTGACAGCATTAATCCAATCTTAAATTCCACCAAAATCACAGTATCTGAAAGCCTGTGAATTATTTCTTGGGTGTTTGTTTAAACATCTAATATTTGCTTTATGACTTTCAGCTGCCTGTGGTTTTATTAGTAAAATGACAAGTTAAACAAAATTTGTTAGCAAACCTGCAATGAGTAATGAAACTGAAAAACGGATTCTTAGAACACGAGAAAAACATTTTTAAAAGTGGCTACTGCTTGAAAAGGATTATAACACTGACATATAAAAATATATCTTAAATCTTAAAATATGATAACTGACTTACACACAAAAGTTAATAAATATATTTGAATTTTGTGTCTGGTCTGTGTCTAGATCATTGTTTTCAGATTGGTATTCAGGCTAACATACATTTTAGCTTTATCTTAGCTTAGTTTGCAATTCTGAAACCAAAATGTGACCAAACACCAGTGTTTTCAGTGGTCATGAAAAACAAACCGTATGAAAAATAAGACAAAACACGGCTTTGAAATGGCTGAGAAAACATTAAAATTACACACGTTAGCGGTTAGCGGCTAATGCTAGGCCTAGCAATCTGAACTGGTTTACGTCCTTACCATTAGAGGAAGATTTAGGATATTTTAAATACAACTAAATAAATAAAAACAACCGCTGCTCGGCTGGAAAGAGTCTGTAGCGAGTACTAGTTCTGGTTAAACTGACAGAGTTGTTATTTGTGCTCAAAGTTATTACTTTATTTCTGATTTTGGGTCCCAGCAGCGCAGCTAACGGTCAGAATTAGCCGCTCAGCTAGCCTCATATCCTCCTTCCGCATCCAGTCTCTGCTGCTGGTAAAATCACAGGTTTCCTCCTCAGGATGCCAGCCAGGAAGGCTGAAATTTAACTCCAGCTTCCCGTCTGTCGGCGCTGGTTAGCTGAAGACTGTTCCCTGGCAGTCCGCCATCTTCTCCGGAATTAAACTGACACCGACATGTAGCAGGAGCCACGGTTCCCACTGATAACAGCTGTTCTCTAGCACAAACCGAGCCTGGGTGGAAATGTTTGTACAGGCTAGCTCAGCGACCTGCTAACAGCACGAGCTAACACAACTAACTGACGTTTACGTAGCACGTATCACGTAACACGCGCGGCCACGTACACTTAAAAAAAAAAGTTAAGTGAACATAAAAAAAAGTGGGGGGAAAAAACGATTTTTAACTGAAAATGAAACATTTTTTTGGCTGTAATTACATATGGATTCTGCATTGGGTCAAACACATTTTCTTTGATTTACAGTACATTATTCTTTTGTCACTTTATGAAATTGATGCATGATTCAAGGATTCAAGGTTCTTTATTTGTGGTACACACCACATGTACATGTGGTGGAACGAAATTATGTACACAGGGTCCCAGTTACATCCAACAAAAGTATTAAAATGTAAAAAAAAAAACTAATAAGATCTAAGATATGAACTAAGAAAAACATTAACTAAAAATACACTAAGCACTACACAATACGCTGAACAACAGCACAAACATGAGTCTGTGTGAGCAGATGAGCATGCATGAACACAGCAACATGAAACAGATCAGCAGCAACATGATGTGATTTTTCACAGTGATTATCCTGGATAGGTATTCATGAGTCTAACAGCCTTGGGGTAGAAGCTGTTCCTCAGTTTATTGGTTTTACACTTAATGTTCCTCAACCTCCTTCCTGAGGGGAGCAAGGCAAAAAGTGTGTGTGCTGGGTGAGTGGAGTCCTTCATGATGCAGGTGGCCCTATTCCTGCATCTGGAGATGTAGATGTCTGTGATGGTGGAGAGGCTGACCCCAACAGACATCTGTGCAGCCTTCACCACTCTCTGCAAAGCTTTTTTTCCTGCAGCTGTGCAGCCTCCATGCCACACGTTGATGCTGGAGCACAGGATGCTCTCCACTGCACACCTGTAGAAGGAGGTGAGGACTGAGCTTCCCAGTCTAGCTTGTCTCAGCCGCCCGAGGAAGTAGAGTCTCTGACGAGCTTTCTTAATCAGGCGGGTGGTGTGGATGCCCCAGCTGAGGTTGTCATTCAGGTGTACACCCAAGTACTTGTAGATGGAGACCACTTCCATCATAGATCCTCCTATGTTCAAGGCGAGTAGGTGTGTTTGTTCCTTCTGAAGTCCACGATCATCTCCTTTGTCTTCTTCACATTGGTGTGAAGGTTATTCTTCTTGCACCAGGTTTTCCACCTCCTGCCTGTAGCTGTACTCATCATTGTTTGTGATGCATCCCACCACTGTATCATATGCAAACTTTACAATGTGACAGCCTGGATGGGGTGCAAAGTCATATGCGAGCAGAATGAACAGGAGGGGGCTCAGCACACAGCCCTGAGGGGAGCCAGTGCTGATGGTTATGGTGGAGGAGGAGGACTTGTGGATCCTCATTGACTGCAGCCTGTTTGTTAAGAAGTTTAGGACCCAGTTGCAAATGGAGGGGCTTAGTCCTAGTGTGAGTAGTTTGTCCATCAGGGTTTAGTACTGAAGACAGATGTGAAGTCCACAAAGAGCATATGGACATAGGAGTCCTTCTGCTCCAGGTGGGTGAGAGCAGTGTAGACCATAGAGGCAATGGCATCTTCTGTAGATCGATTCTCACAATATGCGTACTGGTGAGGGTCCTTGTTGATGTTGATGGTTGTTTTGATGTGGGTCATGACGAGTTTTTCGAAGCATTTAGTGACTATCAGGGTGAGGGCCACTGGCCGGTAGTCATTCAGACCAGTCACTGTAGAGCTCTTTGGAACTAGGATGATGGTTGCGGTCTTCAGGCAGGTGGGAACTGTTGCCAGGGTGAGGCAGGAGTTGTCGGCCAGCACCTCGCAGAGCTGATCGGCACAGTATTTCAGCACCTTCCCGATACCAAAATACCTGATACCAAATAATACCAAAAAGCAAACAATTAAGTTGTGTAAATGATTACTTTGTGTTACTTGTGTCAGTCCTGTTAGATTAATCCATCCATCCATTATCTTTACCCGTTTATTCCATTTTGGGTCACGGGGGTCGCTGGTGCCCATGTCCAGCAATCACTGTGCGAGGGGCGGGGTACACCCTGGACAGGTCGCAAGTCCATCACAGGGCCACATAGAAACAAACGAGACAAACAACCATTCACTCTCTCACTCACACCTAGGGACAATTTAAAGTTACCCTAACATGCATGTTTTTGGTCTGTGGGAGGTAACCGGAGCATGCACGGAGAGAACATGCAAACTCCACCCAGAAAGGCCCCTGGACCGGGGTTTGAACCAGGGACCGGCTCGCTGAGAGGCAGCAGCTCTACCAGTTGCGCCACCGTGCTGCCCTGTTCGATTAATGAAAACAACAAAAAGTGATAAGCTGAAACTTTGCAAAGTCTATATTTATTCATTCGTATAAGGATTAGATTTGTGCCAAAAACAAAGAAAAAAAAAAAGCCTGACAAAAATAATAAACTACAACAAAGCAAGCAAAAACATCTAAAAAATAAAACATTTGATTTGCACTAAAAAAAGTAAACGCAGTTGTAAATGCAATTGTTGATCGCTTATTTCTTTGGCTTTTTTCTTTTTCACTTTGCTTTATTCTGTCAGGTGGCTTTTATTCTCACAAGTAAGGCTTTTATTCTGACAGTCCTTGTTTGTTTTTAAGGTCTGTGGCAGCCATCTTGAATCTGGTTATCCAACAAGTCATTTGTTCATAAACAAAAAAATAGAGAAACTGAGTCAGTCCTAAAAGCTGTCCTAATCACTTCACACTGCCTTTAAACAACAAAATGTTTAATTTAGAAATAAATCAATAATTTTCATCAACTAAGTTACTTTTTATAGTTAGATCTACTTACAACAAACAAAACGTATTATCGGTAATTCTATATCCTGATGGATGCTCAATAATCCAGGTAGAAAAATCTACATACAATGCTATTCTAGTATCACTCAGTCAGCTCTCTGTGAATCAGAGTACTAACGACCCATTAGCTTGATGGTCCTCTTTTATCACATGAACAGCTAGTTTTGAATGTCAACAACAAACTGGTTGATCCACTACAAGACTGAAGAAGTCTTTCGGATGAAAGATGAAACGTTTTTATAACTTATATATATATTTTTTTAAACCAGAACTCCAGAGAACGGCAGCATGGTGGCGCAACTGGTAGAGCTGCTGCCTCTCAGCGAGCAGGTCCTTGGTTCAAACCCCGGTCCAGGGGCCTTTCTGGGTGGAGTTTGCATGTTCTCTCCGTGCATGCGTGGGTTTCCTCCCACAGTCCAAAAACACGCATGTTAGGCTGATTGGCAACTCTAAATTGTCCCTAGGTATGAGTGAGAGAGTGAATGGTTGTTTGTCTCTATGTGGCCCTGTGATGGACTTGCGACCCATCCAGGGTGTACCCCGCCCCTCGCACAGTGATTGCTGGACATGGGCACCAGCGACCCCCGTGACCCAAAATGGAATAAGCGGGTAAAGATAATGGATGGATGGAACTCCAGAGAACCTGACTTAACTTTTTAAAACATTAATTCCATAAGTAAAATGTTTTTGCTTTGAAACATTATTTGTTTTTTAGGGTAATGAAACATGAACATTGATGTAGACCAAAAAAAAACATGGCTTAATGACATCACTCAAGCCGTTAGACAGCAGTGTAGGAGAGCAGAACGCAGGTGGAGGAAAGACAGGCTGCAGGTTTATTTTCAAATCCTAAAGGAGAGTTGGCGTCATTATCAGAAGGCAGTTAAAGCCGCCAAATCGAAGTTGTTTTCTGTGATAATTGCCTCAAACTCTCACAACCCCCGAGCCCTTTTTCCCACCCTGAACTCAGTTCTACACCTCAGTGAACCTTCACCTCTAGAAGCCTCAACTGAGCTGTGTGAAAACTTCCTCCATTTCTTTTCTGAAAAAGTTGCAAACACCCGGGCACTCATTTCTCCACCTGCTCATGATCCGTCCATCCCATCTCATTGTGTTGCTGTTCTTGACCACTTCGAGCCCATCTCTCTGTCTTCCCTGGAGCAGGTCATGTGTGGCATGAAGCCATCTGGCTCCCTTTTTGACGTTGTCCCCCCTCGACTCCTCAAGGATCTTCTTCCTGTTCTGGGCCCTCCTGTTCTTGGCATTGTGAACAGCAGCTTAGTCTCAGGTGTGGTGCCAATAACTTTTAAACATGCTGCTGTCCAACCTCACCTGAAAAAACTTAGCCTTGACCCCTCAGTCATGTCCAACTTCCGGCCTGTCTCCAGACTCCCATTTGTCACTAAACTACTGGAAAAAATAGTGGAGTCCCAGCTGAAATGCTTTCTAGAGGATAATGCAATCTTAGAGCTATTCCAGTCTGGCTTTAAACCTCTCCACAGCACTGAAACTACTCTACTCAAGGTTTTCAACGACATTCTCCTATTCACAGACGCTGGTGATTCTGTGCTCCTTCTCTTACTGGACCTCACATCTGCCTTTGATACAATCGACCACGAGATCCTCATTGCGAGGTTAGAGCAGTGGGTGGGCATCACTGGGTCAGCCCTCGAATGGTTTAGATCTTACCTCGCTGACAGGTCCTTTTGTGTCTCCATCAAAGATTTTAGTTCAGCCTCGACAGCGCTTAAATGGGGGGTACCGCAAGGGTCCATCCTTGGTCCTCTTTTATTTTCTTTATACCTGCTGCCACTAGGTGCTATTTTCAGGAAACATAACATACCTTTTCATTTCTACGCCGACGACTGCCAAATCTACTTTCCCCTCAGACTCAACGGTACTCGCTCTATTCAACCGTTACTGGACTGCCTGGCTGACATCAGAGATTGGATGGCTTTAAATTTCTTGAGTTTCAACGAGAAGAAATCTGAAGTTATGCTGTTTCCTCCCAATGACACAATCACCAACCACGGCATCGACCTATCCGTTCTGTCACCGTTAGTGAAACAAAGAGTCACTAATCTAGGAGTGATACTTGACCCTTCTCTGAAACTCAACAATCATGTAAATATGATTGTTGAATCCTG